AGTCAAAAACCAAGCTTCTAAAGCCATAAACCAAAAGAAAGATTACTGACTGGGTAATCACATGGATTAAAATAGTGTGTTGGGGGCTGGAGATGCTTAGGAAACAGGAGCCTAGAACCAAAAGGAAATAAACAAGCTAATAAAAGCAAACAAGAACATAGACGTCCATCAAAAGGTGACACAGGAAGGGGATAAATGCCAAAGACTTCGGAGAACACGACTGCCATGTATCTGAGTAACAGAAAGTTAGTCACGGACTATATTGAAAATGAAAATAACTAAGTTACAATGAAGACATCAACAGAACAAAATATGCAAAACGTATGAGCAGCATTTAAGGGAGCTGTAGACATCAGTACCTAATAAATGTGCACAGTCTTCTCATAGAGCAGGAATTAGAATATAATGAAAGCGTCCACCACGTTTAAAAGAACAAATAATAATCTGGAAGACATTTGTTGAGAGTGCATGGACAGAATTGAGAAATATCTTAGCCTTACACACTGGTTTTTGCTCTTATGCCCATACCCATGGGAACCAATGCTTGCCCTTATCATGAATGTCATTCAGCAATGTGCCGGCCATATGTGTACAGAGCCAAAATCTGCAAATTCTCAGAATATTCTGTATACATAACAAATCCCATGAGACATATTCACATGATACTGTAGAAGGTATCAGCTAAGAGAGTGCACCCACTAACAGCATCCACAACAACCTAACTGATCCTAAAAAGCAAAACTAAGTTATATGTGTGTATAACTTATATGTGTGTTTTATATATACATACAAACACACACACATATATAATATATATAACCAGCTTGCAAAATATGTATAACACATATCTGAAATTCAAAAAACAAAAAGACTAAATATGTTATATATTAAATATATATAAAACTATATAAATATAGTTTCTGTGAGAGAAACTATAAAAAAAATTAATGAAATGAATAAAGGAAAATACAGAAATGTGTTATTCTAATTTCCTGTGGGAGAAACTAGAGAGTCAAATGGAGTCCTTGGTAGTTACTAGGCAGCAGAACTGAGACATTTTCCTAAAAATCATGAACTTACAAATATTCTGTATTCATAATTGTAGATAATAGAGTCAAACTATATGTGCTACTATCTTGTAATATTTGCATCTGGAAATTATATTTATATAGCAAATCTTAAATACATTTTTTCTAGATTACAACTAAAACCCTACAATAAATGATAACATTTTTTAAAATAGTATATAATTCCATCTACTATATGAGAATAAATTTCTTTGGAAAGATCCCTGGATATAATTAGCATCTCAGAGATGTACTTGCTTTGTACTTTTCTGACTTACAATGAAAGAATTCTCCCTGGAATGAGGCCAGATAAATCTTCTGTGAAAATCTGGAAATCCGATCCCCTGATGTCACCAACACCAACAACAGTTCCTCTATGTCTTATTTAAGACTTCCTTAGTATTCAGTTTTCATTATTTCTTTAAAACTATTCAAATATGGGCCTGGAGAGATAGTTCAGTGCTTAGGAACATTGGATGCTCTTCCAGAGGTCATGAGTTCAATTTCCAGCAACCACATGGTGGCTCACAGCCATCTACAATGGAATCTGATACCCTCTTCTAGCATGTAGTCATACATGCAGACAGAGCACTTAGGCCTAAAAGAATGCATAAATAAATACAATTAGTTAAAAAACACACCTATTCTTTGTGTATAAGAGGGTGACTGATGTTAGAAACAGGTAATACTGACATTCAACTCTAGAATTCACAGGTTCCAACTACACTGTCTTCACTACCACCCTACAAAAATTCCTTAAATGGAAGCCAAGCATTTGCTAGACATTCACAACTTAACTGGCAATGTGTGAGTCCTGAAAGATACAATTTAATTATTTACCTTAAATGAGGCATGTTCAAATGACAATGAGTTCTCAACAGGTGGACACCATCATTCACACATTGGGGGAAGAAGGTTAATTGCTGAATTTTGAGAAAAGTCAGCAGTCAATTCCTTGGACAGATCTTTTCAATAAAATCTTGCTGAGAGCTACATTCTCAAATAAGTACATAAGAATAAGTAACAATATGTGGCGGTTTTTAAACCTCTTCAGTACTTGAGGTAATAAACAAACAGATGTTTGGGAAGACTGGGGCTTATGAATCCCGCTCTACTGTCAACAAATTAGGCAACATCTTTGCTGCCTGCTGCTAACACAGCAATCTCTTACATTTAAAATCCTGATAGCTTCTCCTGGTTGAAAGAGAATTAGAATATATTCACACAGGATAAAGTAAAACAAACCAAAGTGTCTTTGTTTGGAATGGTAAAGCTTCCAGAAGTTAAGCAGAAAGTACCAGTAGGTCTTGTGCATCAAATGTCTAAGAAAATATTTTAAATAAACAATCACTTTCCATTCCTTTCCTGTATCATTTGACTAAGTGAAGTTTCCAGAAACTCTCCACCTAACTTAGAAGCTTCTGGATACACTGGCTACTTTTGCTTACCTTCTATGGCCTATCTCTAGAAAGAGGGCACTATCAGATCCCCAAAGCTAATTTACCACCTTATTTAGACCAATGTGTGACCAACAGCTTCAGTGAGCTTTTATCCATGGTGGCCAGAGAGGGTGCAGGGTGTTATTTCAATTCTCTTATATCTGTTAAGACTTGCTCGTGCTCTGTGTCCAAAGACGCAGAAAATTTTGAATACAGTACTTTGTGCTAGGTACTAACTACAGTGGACAGGATAGAAAGTAGACAAACTCATGCACCCTAAATATCTCACTACTGAATGAAAGGTAGGTCAAGACAGCAATCAAGAAGGACATTGAAAACGTTTTAGGACCAAATTAAACACAATATGACAAGATCTATGGGACATAGCAAAGGCAGTTCCCAGAAAAAAAAGGTCATAGCTCTAAGTGCTTAATTAAAACTAAAAAACAAAAACACAACTGGAGAGATCTTATGTAAATAACATAATGATACGTTTGAAAACTTAAAAAAATGAGAAGAAATAATGCCTAAAAAGAGTCAAAGGGAAGGAATAATAAAACTCAATGCTGACATCAGTGAAATAGCAACAAAAACAGCATGGATAGGATCAATGGAACAAATCTGATTTTGTAAGTTGTCCTGTGTGAGTTTCCTTTCATTGTATGGTCATTTTCTGAGAGTCTGGTCTGGACTGTGAACATAAACCCTGTATTCTTGTCCAGAGTGAAAAGAAATTTGGTTTGGATAACCTGTGTTGCTTAATAATTAATCAACGGGCTGCAATAAGAAAGGTTTTCTGTACGTCTGCTGCGAAAGAAAACCATACATGATTTACTGGTGATAAACTATGAGTCTCCTTTTGTACCTCCATTCTTCCTTTTATCTTTGTGAAGATATAGAAATGTATTATCACAATTCTATAGCTAGAAAACTGAAATTCACAGACATGGAAAACATATCTCCGGGCAAAACTACTCAATACCTAGAAACACAACGGTCCCCTGTTTGGTTTTGTTAGTACTGGGTGCTAGCGATTCATGTAGGATAGGCAAATACTTCTACCACTGACCCACATCCCCAGCCCAACAACGCTGAAACTGAAATATAATTTATGTAACTAAAAACTCATCACATCTCTTGGAAATAAACATTACAAAGATAGAAACATGCGCACAAAAGGTCTCCTGGCTAATTAAACGCTCACAGATTTCAGTTCTCTCCCAATCAAAATGTTACATTTCAAAATCCATTATAGTTCCCATCCACCATCTGTTTTAGGATAAAATATCTGTGAATAAAATTTTGTGAATTGATTATTTTTAGATTTAAAATGCGTACTAGTTGTTTGAAATGACATTTTGGAAAGAAGCTTGGCTCCAAAAATGGTAGAAAGGTTTAGACATATATTCATGAGAAACTACAAGGAACTATAAGCATTAACTTTTCAAACTTTTTAATAACCTACACATAGCTCCTGAAAAAGATGTCATTTTAAAGCAATGTACTTAATATGCTTGCTCGCTTTATAGACATAAATCTTAGTAAAATTATCAGATGACATGGGCAGTCTGTGAAAGAAGCAGGACTTCACAGGAGAATAACAAATGGTCTCTCCCTATACATTTAATCATAATTACATCAGTAACATTTATCTCACTCATAGAAGTATAAATCTTGGAAATACATTCAGATGAATAATCTCAAGAGCATCATCATTTTGGCAGATGGATAGAAAGAAGCAGAAAGTCAATTAAGGAGTGTTTGTACTCCCAAGTTAAAAATGGACAGAAGAGATAGACAAGTGTCTCCAGATCATGACTCAAGACACCAGAAGATATCGTGCCATAGGATTTTAACACAGGCATTAAAGTACACAAAAATATAATACCAAGCGGACAATAGAGAAGTACACTATGTTTCAGAATCTTACACATGGTCCCAAGAAGGAGAGTTTGCTTATAATCAAGTGACTATTAAAAAGTGGTCTTAGGAGATATAAATCTTAAACTAACTAATTGAAGACTTTCAGCCATGAATAAACAAATATTCTTTCATAAGTCATTGCTACTGGAAGAGTAATTTTTAACAGCATTATACATTAGTATAACTGTGATTATACATTAGTAAACAACTTGAATTCTATCAAAATCTTAGTAACCTGCAGCTCTGTATCATTTGGAGTGGGAGGATAAAGCTTGGGATTTGGCATCTTCCCATTCCCAACCAGTGGACTGCACCAAAGCCTTCCTTTGTGTAAAATTTGCACACTTTGTATTCAGGACAAGCACTGATTTTGTTAAGAAGAGTTTCAAAGTACAAAGCAGGCTACCCTGGACACCCTTTGAACATCGTACTTCCTAATTCAGGTCACTGACTCTTTCTTTCCCACATCTGACTGAGTGTCCCAATTCCCTGGCTAGGTTTAAAAGCAAACACAACTCCTTCCTAATGGCAACTCAAAGGACAGAAGGCGCAGGGAGCGCAGAGCCCCTACCTGATGCTGCTCATGCTTCCAGTCTCCGAGCCAAGCTTGCATCGCTCCAGCTGGCTGGCCACGATCTGGCGTTCAGCCTCCAGCTCTCTGGTCAGCCTTTCAAACTGTAATTCCTGAAAGAAACCCACCGGAAAGATGAATGGTAGCACCTATATGAAACACCAAGTTTAGAACCAAGATGACAGGAAGACAGATGGGGAAAATAAGATTTTTTTCAAGGCATCAACTTTGAGACACAGAGGGTGTTGCTATATAATAAGGCAAGGGCTTGAAAACTAGATGTGTAAGACACTGGCCCCAAAACATTAATATAACTTATTTATTATCTGTTTCATCATGTTTTAAATGGGCTAAAATACTAATTTCATGAGTAGGAAGTGTGAATTGAGTGAGATACCTAGCTAAGGCACTTTTCTTACCTATTTCATTTACAATTTTTATAATTTATAAATTATAAGAAGTCACATGTTTAAGAAAAGTTTTAACAGTTATTATTTTACAATTTCATGTTTAACTATTTCAAAAATTAAATTATCTGCACAATTATATTTCAGGAATGAGAAGGAAAAATATTATTACAACCTGAAAGTAGGACAGAGGTAGATTTTTAGAGAATTAAAACCTCTCAAAGTTTAGTGCGTTTGCCTTTTCAACACAGTCAACTATCTTATTAGTCAACTTGAGATATTTTTTTATGGGTAAAGATTTCATATCACAGGCTGTGATTGTCTCTTTAGCTTTTTATTTATTTTTTACGTCAGATTTTATATTTCAACTACAGTTTCCATTCCACTCCTCCTCTTGCCACTCCCTCATCCCCCAAGTCTACCCTCGCATCACTCCTCCCAAAGGGTAAGGTCTCCCATGGGAAGTCAAAGTCTGGAACACAAGCTTGAGGCAAGACCAAGCCCCTTGCCCCCTGCATCGAGGCTGAGCAAGGGATCCCACCATAAGGAATGGGCTCCAAAAAGCTAGCTTGTTTAATTTTACTTAAAAAAAAAACACCTAAATCTATTGTTCATAAAAGTGGAGTTTTTTAAGTGCTGATATTATTGGAGATTCAAGTAGAAGACACTTTGCAAAGGAGGGATCCCTCTTCCTACCACAGTGTATAACTTGGGAAGCATGTCAGTCAAGTTCAGTATTCCCTTCTAAATACTCCGAGTGGTACCAACTACTTCTGGTAAAAACTGAACATGAAGACCCCTGTTGGTTGAATCAATGTCTTATAGCCTGGCCTCCTCTCTAAAGATTTGGAAGTTGACCCTCAAAGGAATATCCAGTTGCTCATTTCTAGTATTTAAATAATAGCAGGTCTTAATTGTGTTCATGCTACAGGAAACCAAATCATATTTTTGTATTGAACATACACTTAAAGGTCATACAGGGTTGTTGCCATCCAGATGGAAGTCTATGATTTGTGTTTAAATTGCTATATTTCTTCTTCTCCATAGAAGACCATTATGATGACACGGTAGAACAATATGTTCAAAGTCAAGGTACACACACTAAGGACACACAGCTTGCTTATAGCTGCTCTCATAGTATGCTTTCTTTATGTCATTCCAACAGTCAGGAAAATGGAAGAGAGTTAATGGTCAGGAGAGGTGGGAGACAATGTGGTTAGGAGTGAGGGAGAAAGTCAATTGTCAAAAGTGATGGGAGGCACTCAACAGGCAGGACCATGGGAAACAGTATCTTGGCCAAGAGTGATGGAAACAGTCACTGGTCAAGAGTGACCACAGATTTCAATAGCCAAGAGTGATGGGAGACACTCGAATGTTGGCAGTGAAGGGAAACCACATCAAGTCAGGAGTGAGAGGAGACCATTTATTGTCAGGAGATACTGGCAAATTTTCATTTGAAAACTGCATTATGAACAAATAATATCCAGCATATGGCATCCCTTTAAAAAGACACATCCACCTTTCTGAAGAAGATCTTTGAATATTTCCTATATTGTAAGGTTTATTTTTTTAAGATTTAGTTATTTATTATGTATACAGTGTTCTGTCAGAAGAGGGTACCAGCTCTCATTACAGATGGTTGTGAGCCACCATGTGGTTGCTGGGAACTAAACTCAGGACCTCTGGAAAAGTAGCCAGAGCTTTTAACAGCTGAGTCATCTCTCTAGGCCTATTGTAGGTTTTTAAAGAAGAATACTTTGAAATTTACAAGACTTGAATATGCATTTTCTAATATTTTTTATTAAAATTTCTTTTTTGAGAATTTCATATATAAGTACTATATTTACACTTTCCCTCCCTCTTTCTCCCTTTCAACTCTTTTCATGACCCCTCTTTCTCAAATTATTGATCTCTTCCTTAATTAATACTGTTAAATGCATATGTTTGTAAATAATCTGCAGAGTCCATTCAAAGTTGCTCATTTTCATGTGTTTAGGGCTGACCTGTACCACCCTTGGCATATACCCAAAGCATTTAACATCATACTACACAGATACTTGCTCAGCCATGTTCATTGATATTCACAGCAATTAGGAAAATGGTGTGGGAGAATTGTCTGTATTCTCTCAATCATGTTTTAAATAAATGCTGATTGGCCAGGCAGGAAGTATAGGCGGGAAAACCAGACAGAAAGTAGAAATGATGCAATGAGAATAGGAGAATTTTGGGAAAAAGGAAGTTAATACCTCCCACTCCTGCCCAGACCACCAAAGCAGCAGGATGTGATCTGCTGCAGTGAAAAAGGTACTGAGCCACATGGCTAACATAGATCAGAATAATGGGTTAATATAAGCTACAAGAGCTAATAAGTAGCCTGACCTAATGGGCCAATCAGCTTTATAACTTATGGAGATCTCTGTGTCATTTTCTTTGGGGCTAAACAGTTGTGGGTACCGGGTGGGACAAAAACCCCAACAACAAACAAGCCGGCTCTAATGTTACAGGAAAAGGAAACAACCTAAAAGTCCTATAGCTGACAAATGGGTCAAGAAGATACTGTACATATGTATGATGGAATGCTATTCAGATGTAAAGAAAAATGATCTCATTTAAAGGTATTTTTGTAATGTTTCTCACTTATACTGTCTCTGCCCAAAATTTTATAAAAGTCCACATTTGTTTTAACTTTATAGCATTATAGATATGATATTTTTTTTCTCTCTGCCATGTTCCTTGATATAATTTTTACTTAAAATTGACTAAACTGACCAGATTAGTGAATTGTTAGCTTTCATTATATAGAAGAAAAATTAATCCTTATGATTAATTTTTATTAATGTTTATGATTTCTGTATGCTCTCGTTCTTTGAGAATATAATATGTTACTTAGAACTGACCCTCAACTCACAAAATATTTATTAAATTTTCTTCATGCTTCATTTTGTATGTTTTCTATTAGTGTAGCCAAGCTAAGTAATCTTTTCTTCTGCATTGCTTAATATTTCATTAATTCTTCCTAAAGTATTTTATCTCAAAGTCTGGTAAATTAAAATCCCAATAGCTTTGCTTGGGTAATTCAACTGGGCTTCATGGCAGCATGGAAGAACATACTTTTGTCACTATTATGATGTATGTATTTATCAGCTGCAGCATCTTGTGTTAGATCCAGGTGATCACTTCTCTCTTCAGCGTGGATCTCAGTCCAGGCTCCTCTGCACAAATAGTGACCTTTAGACATGAAATGACTTCCAGTTTCCTTTTTTGTGGTCTGAACATCTTCATATTCCTACAAATATTGCCAGTTATCTTCTGACTTACTTGGGAAAATAGTACTTTAACCTAGTGTCAGTCATCCTCCAAGACCCTTCTGGAACTCCAGCCAGTACTTCATGAACAGAGGGCATTCCTGTCCCTACTAGAGGAAGCTATCATGCATTGCCAGCTCTGACTGAACTCCAGAAACTGTGTCCTCTTGTGTCTTTATATGATGCTTTTTCTGCTCTTTGATAACTTTTGTACTCAGATTTCTTCTCTACTCTTTGCTAAATGAAAAGACTCTGCCCCCAAGGAAAGACCTTTTAATCTATGAGCCCCCAGAAATTCAGTGGTGTTGTATGTGGCTTCCTGTTCATTTCCCGCTGCCCAGACTCTCAAAATAACCACACAGAAACTATACAAATTAAATCACTGCTTGGACAATTAGCTTTAGCTTCTTATTGGCTAACTCTTCATCTTACTTTAACCCATCTCCATTATTTTATATTTTACCAGGAGGCTCATGGCCTACCAGCAAGGTTTCCACGTATCTGTCTCTGGCTGTGGCTTCATGGCCTCTCTCTGACTCCACCTCCTTTCTTTCCAGCATTCAGTTTAGTTTTCCCTGCCTAGTTCTACTCTACCCAATCACAGGCCCAAGACAGTTTCTTTATTAACCAATGGTGTTCACAGCATACAGAAAGGAATCCCACATTACAGTGGCATTTGTTTCCCTGTTTGTCCATCACTGTTTCTGTCTTCCTAGATCCTAGACATTATGATCAGAGGCAGCATTCCCTTTTCCCAAGAAATTGGTTTAAGGCTTATGAGGAAGGCTATTTCAGCCACAATATACCACTCACTGGATGTGGAAGCTCTCTGCTATACTCACTCTATCCTTACATAGCCTTATACAGAGATCATGAAGAACTGTATACTGAGTCATGAAGAACTGTAACTGATGGGACAAGTAATTGGCCATTTAGTGGAGGGTTCCTTTTTCCACTGGTGTATGTCATACATTTGACCAAAATGCGTCTGCATTTAGAGCAGCCACTACCTTTCCAGAATGGAGGTGACCCCTGAGGCCATGGGGGATGTTGCAAGGGTGGTGGGGTTGGAAAGATGACATGCTGAATTAGCATGGTGTTTCAAGGGGGCACAGATCTCTCAAGCCTGAATAAGCTCCCAAAAAGTAATCAGGAAGAGAGATGGCACTAGGCTGATCTGGAGAGTATGTATGCACTAGATTAGTTCAACACAGATGAGGGTTCCTGAAATAAGACTGAGGAAATGCAAAGACTTGGAGAGCAAATTGAACAATATAAGTCAGGCGCACCGGTGGGGGGAGGGTCTAGAATAACTGTCTACTAAGACCTTCATCTACACATTTCCAGTGGAGAAGAAATAATGCAAATTAGGCTACAAAATACACAATATGGAAACTGTCC